ATAAGATAGGTTAGTGTGGTACTTAGTATTAGTAATTCTCTTGGGATTCGATACTCGTTACTCGAGCTTTATTACTTGCACGATTCCGTACATTTGGATTTCAACAACATATGTTACATTTATATTTCGGCTTCTTCTTTATAAACATACTATAAACATCAAATTATTTTCTTAATTTCAAAGGATATTGAAAAATCTCCAACTCCCAAGTCCCATATTATAGAGAAATGGACCAAAAATCAAGTATGAATATAAAATGAGTATACTAGCCTTACAAAGAAGCATACAAGAGTCATACAAGAGTCAAATCCAACCCTTGAAATTCTGATTGCCTTTTTCTCTCCTCTTTTTTCTTTCCTTCAAGGTTGGATTTGACTCTTTATTGACTCTTATCATGCCTCTTTGTAAGCTAGTATACTCATATGAATAGGACCTACAAATCAGAAATTTAACCTGTAATGTAGCTGATAAAAAAGACTCGAGTGGTCCCAATTAGAGACCGACGGCCCAGAAAAGCCGCGGGGCTGAGGCTAGTCCCCATATTATTGGGGTTCAAGAATCCATGTCTTGATTACTTACCAAAAAAAAAAAGGATATGTCTTGAGAGTTTATTTAGTAATTTGAAATGAGATGCCTCATCAAAGGAGCATATCGAGAACAAAAGTTGAATTTCTTGTTCTTGAGGTGGTCCTTCTTTCGTTCTTTCATTCTATTTTGGATCTTTTTTTACTTGTCTTTGTATTTCAAATCCCAAATCTTCATTTTTTGGCTTATCTTCAGCTTCAGCCTACATATTAAGATTATGATGTGACTTTGCATGACTGTATAAACGTGAACCCATATTTACTTACTGATTAGTACAGTTGACATTTGTTATTACTCTGTAATACTGCTGCTCTCTTATCTCTTAAGTGCAGCTTGGAACTGGTAGTCGAAAATGATGTGAAGGGAGACAGAAGCTGAGAGATGGAGATTTCTGATTTGTTTTCTCTTTGATGACGGAACTGAAGGTTATAAAAGTGCTTTGCGTGAGGAGAAGAGTGTAATTTTGGTGTCTTTCATCTTTTACTAATTGTTTGAAACCGTTGGTTATTCATAAATTAGTTATGGGTTTTGTTTTTTGCTTTTGCCAATGTTTAAGTCTCAGTTTCAAACATAACTTCTGTCTCTGCTTTTTCAAGTTCATTTGGATCTGCAAAATAAAGATACTAGTTAGTAGCAACATGTCATATTCATATCCTTTTCTTACTCATGAACATATGTTAGAGTTTTGCCACGACATTGTAATTATTAACACAAGTTCTCCTGAGTTACTAGATGTAAGCGCCCCGCGTTGTGCAGTATATTTAGTAGTTGTTTTTGAAACAGTTTGTAAATAGTTTTATTGTAATAACAATGTAATACTCCGTATTTTCTTTGTGGATTTTACTTAATTTTATTTATGTGAACTAGGGGTAATATTTAAGAATTGAAACTTTTTAGAGATGTTTTAGTAAGAAATAAGGATGGTGGGTTATTAGGTATTTTGCAAGAGTACTTGTGCGAAATTGGAAGTGTAAATCTTTTAACAACTTTATGAAATTGTTTAAGATGGGGGTCCTTTTAATATTGTGTCATCAAGGTACATGCATAATTCTCCAGGGTGAGATCATGATAAAAACTTAACTTTATTTAAGGATTTTGGGGTGCAAGATGTAAGAATCAAAGTAAAGGGATGCATGCATAATTCCAATGCAAGATATTAAGGCAATTTCTTTAGGAAATTAGCCCGGTTTTGGCACATTGTTTGCCATGGTTGTGAAATTTTATTATTTTGAATGAGGATGGTGGAGTGGAAAAAGAGAGATAGCCGAAAAAAAAAAAAAAAAGCCAAAGAGAAGGGAAAGGAGTGAAAGAGAGAGAGAAGAGTGAGTGTGGCTAAGTGAGGAGAGGAGATCTCACAGTTTTTCTTCAATGGGTAACATCTTGATTTTGAGATGCTAGTATCATTCCACCATTCATACAGTTTGTGCATTTCTTTTTCTCTAAATTCTTGGCGTTCGGGTTGTTAGGGAGGAAAGGCAAGATCTTTGAGGCAGCTGGCTTTTCGGGTTGAGCTAAATTTTTGTGTGAGTGGACTAGTAAATGCATTAAAAATTCCATGCTCTTGCATTCACATTTGATTGGGTTATTTTTTTTTTATTTGTGCTGGCTGCTTTATTGTTGGTATAATATGTTGAGTTATAAGATTATAAAGTATATTTAAAGTAAGTTGTCCGGCATGCTTTTGCTCACTTATTGATATTTTTTTGGTTAAGTTCGGCTAAGTGTTGAATTATGGGAGTGTTCCTGTATGTTATGAACTTTTGGTTGGAATTTGAAGTCTAATTCAGAGGCTGCAGGTTGGGTATTTTGGGTTATGTGCGTGAAATGTTTTGCTAAAATATGGGATTTGGTATGGGTGGTGTGGAGCCTTATTGCATCTTGTATTGTTATGTGAATTTAAATTTTTGCTGGGACTATGTTACATGTATTAGGCTGTCTTTTTGGCCTGGTTGGGTTTGGTTTATATATACATGTGTGGTTGTGGACATTTGGATGTTATGCATGTTGTCACTCTTCATATTTTTGTTGTGTTGGTTTATGGTCGAGAATGCTAAGCAATTATTGGACAGAGAAGAATGCAATCGATAATTGATTGGTTAAGTTGGTTTGACACAATGAAATTTAACAATAGGCAGCATTTGTGTTCTGGTACTGTCATATTGATGATTTATTGTTATGGGTTTAGTTTCATGAATTTTGCAATGGGGATTGCCGAAAGTTTATCTTGAGTGTTTATATTATTTTTGTTGGGTTTAGGCTTTGATGTTAATTAGTGGGGAGGTTGTATGGGAAAAGAAATTTTGGTGAGGAGCATTGTGTTTGGTTATGTTGTGTATTGTCAAAGTTGAAAGTCAGTTTGGGGGTTGACTGCAAAGATTAAAATGTGGGATTTTAGTAAAATTGATGATAATATAGGGTGCAAATAGAATTTTTTACATACTTTGTATTTTGACGTGGTGAGCATTGCATTCATGATTTCATACCTTTTTATTGAAATTTTATATTATACTTTAATATCGTAAGGCATGCATGATGCATATTTGAATGAAATTGTGGATGCATATTATTATTATGTTTGACTCCGGATTGGAAACCGTAACCGTCCCCCTCTAGACATCAGCTAGTATTTGATATTTATCCTCATGCGCGCATTGAGATGGTCTTTCCTACCGAACCATTGGTATATCCTATAGAACAAGCGGACGCCTGACGCCTCCAGGCGGATTACACTAGGCGGTATTGGCCGGTGTGGGATTTTGGACGCTCCGGGTAGACTGTGGGCGAGATTATATTTGATATCTATCATGACACCCCGAGGGTAGACTGTGGGTTGAGCATGGTTATCCAATGATATGTTCTGTACATCCCGAGGGTAGACTGCGGATGGTGCCACCCCGAGGTAGACTGTGGTGGTGTAGCTTCATGTCTGAGTTAGGGACTGGTTCATAGTTATGATCTGACCCCTAAGTCAGTAGGGTGTGATAATGATTTATTTTATATGATAGTGGTGTGTGATTTCATGGCATCCGAGATAATATATATATACTGTTGTTGCCTTGTCATATAGTGCACTAGTGTTGTGTGCATACAATTATTCATACTTGTTTTCCAGTTAAAATTATTTCGTATAATTTATTATCCGCTCACTGGGCTTCCCAGCCCACTGTTTTATGTTTCCTCCCCCAGATCGTAGATCGGTTCTGTGGGAGCATACTCTACGCTCTAGTTGGCCTTGACGCATGATGATTTGCATCTTTTACAAACTTTAGTGGACTCTGATACTATGTTTTCTTGTAATTGGATTTCAGTTCCTGTTTTTAGAATAATTATTGTGTATTTCTACTTTCTAAACCTTAAACATGCAATGCACTACTTTTCACTTTCGCTATAGACAAATTGTTTTTATGAATGTTTTTTTTTTAAGAGTATTCACCTTCCTTTCGGGATCCTGAGTCTCCTGAAGCGCCCGGATCTGGTGGAATAGGGATACTCGGAGGGGGCTTGACAACAGAAATCAACTATTCAAACATAACAGTTGTTAAGCATATTTTATCATCGATAATATTATAGTTACTTAATTCTTCTCTTTCAGATGCAAAGAATATGTATAAGAAGCTAATAATGTCATCCAAACCGTCTCAACTACTATCAAATCCTATTTATGGAACATAAATTATGATAATATATTATGTTTCATAATCGGATTTGGGTTCAGATTAGAATGGATTAGCCGTGTGACGTGTGGAACATTCTTTGCATTGGTGAAGCGAATATGTACATTCTTAGCAAGGAGGAACATACTCAGTAAATTTTAAGGATGAATACGATCAGCCCTCATTTGTTCCCCATCCTGCAATGTACTTAATGTTACAACATTTTCCAAGTTCAGTAACTAATTTCCATGGAACCATTTTTGGAGGCTCCAAGCTCAAAAATTCAGACAAACAGTTCCATCATCACAAATATCGATATGTTTTATTTGTAATAACAAACACTTATATTCCAGGAAAAAGATTATCCAAATCAGAGTCCATATTTATAGCACTATGTGAATCAAATTACAGTAATGTACAATGAGAAATCGTAGTCTAAGATAGCAACACTGAAAGTAACTTGAATAATGTTATATATATGCATCAGATACCAAGCAACCAATGAGAATCCACCAACATAAGAAGTTAACTTGGGAAAGCAATAGCTTAAGATTAAAGGATTCTAACACCATCGATCATTACAATCATCCTTAGATCAAGCTCATTTGACGTTAAACATTCCCAATTATATCTTACATATTCTCACATCCATTAGCATATAATAATTAATGGTACTATTGGCTTAATATAAACATCCATTACAAAATGGTTAGTATGTTAATGGTTTCTTTGAAAATGAATTGGTCAAATCCATATTTATGCCTACTCACATTAATGCTCTTCACCAAAGGCAACGGGAAATCCCACTCAAAGCTCCGGGTAAAGGAATGGAGCAATAAACCCACCGCTTGCAGCATCAACATGGATTGGAGTGTCCCGTCTACAAAAACAATATACAAATTAGTTTGTAAAATTAGGTAATGAATAATTGTAAATTGGCATATTAATAATAAATAATTACCCAGTTTGTTTGTTCTTCTCAGTCAAGAGATCATTCAAAAGCTTAACATCTTCAAATTCTCCATTGAGAGTGGAACCAAGAATAGCAGCAACACAAATAGTGTTCTCATCTACCATTTCAACTGCTTTTTGAGGGTCCATTACATAGTATCCATCTCTTAGCTTCACCTCCTTCAGCTCCACCTCAAAGTGCCTTGCAAATTTCTCCCAGCACACCTAACGAAAGATATGTTATGTTATAATTAATTAATGATAATTCATAAATGGGATGATGAGTAATTACCTGAACATTGTGCTCAAAACTGGACACACGTGTCAAAATATGCTCCCATGCTTCCAGTAAATAATTTCCATCTTCATCCGCAATTGTGACTATTGCCTATGGGCAATGTAAAATATCAAATCCAGCATCAGAATGAAGTTCAATGAATTATCCAGAGATGATAGACATATAGGTGTCATTAAGAACATCTACAGTAATCAGATCATACAATTTGAGTTCATGGTAGCAAACGCATTATGCATTGATGAAAATTTTTTCAGATTCCCACAAACACACTACTTGGCATGATAAACTACTGCTCCACATGCTATTGGTATTTGTAGCATTCAGATTTCATTCAGCTTAATTGCTTTCTAATTTTCTTGCATTTTTTATTTCTGCCAAATATTTCTTTTGTGTTTCAGCGACAAAAAAATTATCTCATTACAAAGATGCTGCAAATTTTGTACACAAAATAACAGTCATGAATGTTAGCCTGCACACCTAGGACAATTCAAGGTTGCAACTCTTAATTCATTCCTTCAGTGTCAATATTTAGGATTCATACTGAACTAATTTTCATTCGCACTTCACATTCAAGAAAACCATTATGTATTCTACAATTGTGGACAGACCAATAAATATGTTGACAACTGCAGGCATAGATCAGGTGATGACAATAAAGAATACATTACAACAATGATGATTCAGGTGGTTTGAAGTCTGATACTGACACAACTTTTGGTGAAGTGCATGGGTAAAGCATTTGCCAGAAAGTATATTCAGTATCTATTTGTTGCCACTAAATGAACCAAAAAAAACAAAAGAAACATAATTAAATAGTAAACATACCAAACTAAACTGACCAAGGAAGAATAGGCCATCATCAAAACTGACCAAGGAAGAATGGGCCATCATAAAATTTATTAGGAGCATTTTCCAAGTAATCGAAAGTGGGACCTGTTCCAAGTTTCTAATTTTTTTAGTTCGGTTTATATACAAAAAACCCTGACCATGGAAATACAACACCTTTCAAAACATACCAACTTGTTTTACAGGGTCTCCTATGAATGAAGTATACACATCCCTGTTGAGTGTATCAGTGTAGGATAACAATTCTTCACCAAACTTCTTTTTGTCAGGATCCTACAATATTTTGATAGGAAACTAAACATTCCAGGAGGTTCAGAGGAGGGCATCAAGGGAATTACACAGCCTAGCAGCAAGGTGTACGTGAGGAAGAATAAAGTGGATTAGAAGGCCACATGGGAGTTGCTTAAAAAGAAATATATATACGTGGCACCAGATTAGCAGATTAGTTTGTTAGGCCTACAGACTAGTAGACTAAGTTTGTTAAGATAATTGGGTATAAAAAGGTTACGAAAGATGTACAGGGTATGGGATTATTCACAAAGTTGTATTGGGAGGTTCCTAGCTCCTCGAAGTGCTAGAGTTATCTCTTCTTTTCATTTTCTTCATTCTGTTCTTCTTCATTTTTCCATTAAAGTTCTCAGTTCTGAAACATCAAGTACTACAGATTATTAATACAAATATCAGTGCATTATTCAGTGTTTAATCTTGTTCTCTGTGTGAGTTGAGTTGGTTGAGGGTGAATCATTCAGGTTGTTATCATTGGTATCAGAGCCAAGGAATCCTTATGGTTAATACGAGGATGGAAGCCAGAATTAAGGGATTGGAAAAAGATGTAGGAAGTGTTAAGGAGGACATCGGCAGTATCAAGGGGTATGTCGTGGAATTAAAAGAATGGATGCGATTGAGGGATGAGAAGTAGAAGAGTGGTGATCAAGGGAAAGATAAGGGAGAGACATCAGGAAATCAGATGACTAATGAAGAAGGAAGCCCAGCACAATGGAAAAACACCGGAGGATTAGAGCGACTTAGAAATAGTGCGATCGATGGAGATGATCGGAAAATAAGAAAGATGGATTTACCTGTGTTCAATGGTGAAGACCCATATGGATGGACTTTCCGAGCCGAACGGTATTCAACATCAACAAGATTTCCGAGGCTGAGAAGATGGATTCAGCGGCGGTGTGCATGGAGGGAGTGGCTCTCAATTGGTTCTAGTGGATTGATTCAAGAGCTCCGTTTCCAAATTGGGGAACGTTTAAAAACGCACTAATTGAACGATTTCGACCCTCCTATAAGGGTTCTGCTTTTGAGTCCTTGGTGGCGTTGAAACAAACAGGAACTGTAACCGAATACCGTGAGCAGTTTGAGTTGTTTGCTGCACCGATGAATGAGGTAGGAGAAGAATTATTGATGAGCACATCCACTAATGGACTAAAAGAGGAGATTAAGGCAGATTTACGAATTGCTAGGCCCACCTCCCTTTTTGAATTGATGAACGAGGCCCACAAGATAGTGGAAATAAATTGGATCTTAGACAAGTCCAAATTTAAACCAACCCAAGCCCAATGGAAATTTAAAGTTGAATCAAATCAGTGGAATTTTAAAACTGAACCAAACAAAATTGACCAACCATATACACGAGTTACACCCAGCCCAGAACCACTTAGAATCAGTTAGGGCTCTAACGACGCAAGAAGTGCAGATCGCACTAGTGGAGTACAAACACGATTTGAAAAGGGAGAGAGACCACCAGAATATTCACCAACAAACCTTCGAGAAGGTAATTTTCGGCGACTGACAGACGCTGAAATGCAGTATAAAAGAGAGAGGGGGTTGTTTGTAATTATGTAACACATTCCTCCGTGAGTTACTAGCATGTAAGCCGCCCGCGTTTGGGTCAGGGTAGTAGTTAGTAGTTGTTTTGAACACTTTGTAAATAGTTTTATTGTAATAACAGATGTAATACTCCGTATTTCTTGTGGATTTTACTTAATTTTATTATGTGAAGCTAGGGGTAATATTTAAGAATTGAAACTTTTTAGAGATGTTTTTAGTAAGAATAGGATGGTGGGTTATTAGGTAGTTTTGCAAGGTACTTGTGCGAAATTGGAAGTGTTCAAATCTTTTAACAACTTTATGAAATTGTTTAAGATGCGGGGTCCTTTAATATTGTGTCATGCAGGTAATGCATAATTCTCCAGGGTGAGATCATGATAAAACTTAACTTATTTAAAGGATTTTGGGGTGCAAGATGTAAGAATCAAAGTAAAAGGGATGCATGCATAATCCAATGCAAGATGATTAAGGCATTTCTTTAGGAGAATAGCCCGGTTTTGGCAATTGTTTGCCATGGTTGTGCAAATTTTATTATTTTGAGATGAGGATGTGGAGTGAAAAAGAGAGATAGCCGAAAAAAAAAAAAAAAAGCCAAAAGAGAAGGGAAAGGAGTGAAAGAGAGAGAGAGAGAGGAGTGTGGCTAAGGAGGAGAGCGAGATCTCACAGTTTTTTCTTCATGGGTAACACTGTGATTTGAGTGCTCAGCATTCCACCATTCTTACATTGTGCATTTCTTTTTCTTCTAAATTCTTGGGTTCGGGGTGGTGTTTAGGTGGGGAGGAGAAGGGCAAGATCTTTGGGGCAGGGGCTGGCTTTGGTCGGGTTGAGCTAAATTTTTGTGTGAGTGACTAGTAAATGCATTAAAATTCCAGCTCTTGCATTCAAATTTGATGGGTTAATTTTTTTTTTATTTGTGCTGGCTGCTTTATTGTTGGTATAATATGTTGAGTTATAAGATTATAAAGTATAGTTTAAAGTAAGTTGTCGGCATGCTTTTGCTCACTTATTGATTTTTTTGGTTAAGTTCGGCTAAGTGTTGAATTATGGGAGGTTTCTGTATGTATGAACTTTTGGTTGGAATTTGAAGTCTAATTCAGATGGCTGCAGGTTGGGTATTTTGGGTTATGTGCGTGAAATGTTTTGCTAAAATAGGGATTTGGTATGGGTGGTGTGGAGCCTTATTGCATCTTGTATGTTATGTGAATTTAATTTTGCTGGGACTATGTTACATGTTATTAGGCTGTCTTTTTGCCTGGTTGGGTTGGTTTATATATACATGTGTGGTTTGGGACATTTGGATGTTATGCATGTTGTCACTCTTCATATTTTTGTTGTGTTGGGTTTATGGGTCGAGAATGCTAAGCAATATATGGACAGAGAAGACATGCAATCGATATTGATGGTTAAGTTGGTTTGACACAATGAAATTTAAACAATAGCAGCATTTGTGTTCTGGTACTGTCATATTGATGATTATTGTTATGGGTTTAGTTTCATGAATTTTGCAATGGAGATTGCCCGAAAGTTATCTTGAGTGTTTATATATTTTTGTTGGGTTTTAGGCTTTGATGTTAATTAGTGGGAGGTTTATGGGAAAAGAACAATTTTGGTGAGGAGCATTGTGTTTGGTTAGTGTGTAATTGTCAAAGTGAAAGTCAGTTTGGGGTGACTGCAAAGATTAAAAGTGTGGGATTTTAGTAAAATTGATGATAATATAGGGTGCAAATAGAATTTTTTACATCTTTTGTATTTTGACGTGGTGAGCATTGCATTCATGATTTATACCTTTTATTGAAATTTTATATATACTTTAGATATCGTAAGGCAGCATGATGCATATTTGAATGAAATTGTGGATGCATATTATATTATGTTTGACTCACGGATTGGAAACCGTAACCGTCCCCTCTAGACATCACTAGTATTTGATATTTATCCTCATGCGCGCATTGAGATGGTCTTTCCTACCGAAACTTGGTATATCCTATAGAACAACGACGCCGCTGACGCTCAGGCGGATTACACTAGGCGGCTATTGGCCGGTGGGATTTGGACGCTCCGGGTAGACTGTGGGCGAGATTATATTTGATATCATAATCTGACACCCCGAGGGTAGACTGTGGGTTGAGCATGGTTATCCAATGATATGTTCGTATACATCCGAGGGTAGACTGCGGATGGTGCCACCCCGAGGTAGACTGTGGTGGTGTAGCTTCAGTCTGAGTTAGGGACGGTTCATAGTTATGATCTGACCCCTAAGTTAGTAGGGTGGTGATAATTGATTTATTTTATATGATAGTGGTGTGTGATTTCATGGCATCCGAGACTAATATATATATACTGTTGTTGCCTTGTCATAAGTGCACTAGGTGTTGTGTGGCATACAATTATCATACTTGTTTTCAGTTAAATTATTCGTATATATTATTATCCGCTCACTGGGCTTCCAGCCACTGTTTATGTTTCCTCCCCCAGATCGTAGATCGTGTTCTGTGGGAGCATAACTTACGCTCTAGTTTGGCCTTGACGCATGATATTTGCATCTTTACAAACTTTAGTGGACTTGATACTATGTTTCTTGTAATGATTTCAGTTCTGTTTTTAGAATAATTATTGTGTATTTCTACTTTCTAAACCTTAAACTGCAATGCACTACTTTTCAACTTCGCTATAGACAAATTGTTTTTTATGAATGTTTTTTTTTAAGAGTATTCACCTTCCTTTCGGGATCTGAGTCTCCTGAAGCGCCCGATCTGGTGAATAGGGATCACTCGGAGGCTTGACAACAGAAATCAACTTATTCAAACATAACAGTTGTTAAGCATATTTTATCATCGATAATATTATAGTTACTTAATTCTTCTCTTTCAGATGCAAAGAATATGTTAAGAAGCTAATAATGTCATCCAAACCGTCTAACTACTATCAATCCTATTTATGGAACATAAATTATGATAATATATTATGTTCATAATCGGATTTGGGTTCAGATTAGAATGGATTAGCCGTGTGACGTGTGGAACATTCTTTTGCATTGGTGAAGCGAATAGTACATTCTTAGCAAGGGGAATCATACTCAGTAAATTTTAAGGATGATACGATCAGCCCTCATTTGTTCCCCATCCTGCAATGTACTTAATGTTACAACATTTCCAAGTCAGTAAACTAATTTCCATGGAACCATTTTTGGAGGCTCCAAGCTCAAAATTCAGACAAACAGTTCCATCATCACAAATATCGATATGTTTTCATTTGTAAGTAACAAACACTTATATTCCAGGAAAAGATTATCCAAATCAGAGTCCATAATTTATAGCACTATGTGAATCAAATTACAGTAGTACAATGAGAAATCGTAGTCTAAGATAGCAACACTGAAAGTAACTTGATAATGTTATATATATGCATCAGATACCAAGCAACCATGAGAATCCACCAACATAAGAAGTTAACTGGGAAAGCAATAGCTTAAGATTAAGGATTCTAACACCATCGATCATTACAATCATCCTTAGATCAAGCTCATTTGACGTTAACATTCCAATTATATCTTACATATTCTCACATCCATTAGCATATAATAATTAATGGTACTATTGAGCTAATATAAACATCCATTACCCAAAATGGTTAGTATGTGTTAATGGTTCTTTGAAAATGAATTGGTCAAATCCATATTTATGCCTACTCACATTATGCTCTTCACCAAAGGAACGGGAATCCCACTCAGCTCGGGTAAAGGAATGGAGCAATAAACCCACCGCTTGCAGCATCAACATGGATTGGAGTGTCCCGTCTACAAAACAATATACAATAGTTTGTAAAATTAGGTAATGAATAATTGTAAATTGGCATATTAATAATATAATTACCCGTTTGTTTGTTCTTCTCAGTCAAGAGATCATTCAAAGCTTAACATCTTCAAATTCTCACATTGAGAGTGGAACCAAGAATAGCAGCAACAAATAGTGTTCTCTCTACCATTTCAACTGCTTTTTGAGGTCCATTACATAGTATCCTCTCTTAGCTCACCTCCTTCAGCTCCACCTCAAAGTGCCTTGCAAATTTCTCCGCACACCTAACGAAAGATATGTTATGTTATAATTATTATGAATAATTCATAAATGGGATGAGAGTATTACCTGAACATTGTCTCAAAACTGACACCGTGTCAAAATATGCTCCCATGCTTCCAGTAAATAATTTCCATCTTCATCGCAATTGTGACTATTGCCTATGGGCAATGTAAAATATCAAATCCAGCATCAGAATGAGTTCATGATTATCCAGAGATGATAGACATAGTACGGTGTCATTATAGACATCTTTTTCATTGAATCATTCTGAAAATCTAATTAATCAAATAACAATAAGATAGGTTAGTGTGGTACTTAGTATTAGTAATTCTCTTGGGATTCGATACTCGTTACTCGAGCTTTATTACTTGCACGATTCCGTACATTTGTGGATTTCAACAACATATGTTACATTTATATTTCGGCTTCTTCTTTATAAACATACTTCATAAACATCAAATTATTTTCTTAATTTCAAAGGATATTGAA